TTTACCATCTATAAATCTCGCTTTAACAAGGAGAGATACACTACGAAGGAAATGCATTCAAGACGTTTCTGCATTTCGCAATCGTATTTATGCATTTTCATCGGTAAAAAATACAAAGTTGTTGTAAGATAAATTCGCACGCACACCTGCCGTTTTCAGTATCAAATGAGAACTAGAAGGTATGTAATCTATTGACGCATATTTCCTGCAGAAAAATTTATATCCAATCTAAAAGACTCCGGGGTTGTTACATTTTTCACAGAGTTTTACTTTATCGCATTGTTAAAAAGAATTTATCAACTATATTAAAGGAATTTTGACAGGAAGATTTTTGTTTTTCCGCGGTATCAGATTATACCGTGATGATTTTCTTTCAGGTCTACTCGCCACGGCTCCTTAGACTAGGGATACACCCAATCAGCGCACGGGGTCGACGCTATCAGTTTTATCTAGGAGGTGAGCAAGACCCCTAGAAACCATCAATGTGGGCGGGACCTTATACCGACAAGTGTCGAATATTCAGTTAATTTTTGACATTACTTTATTGGCACGTATTTTGGCTCGCTTTCGATTTTTGCCAATTCCAAAAAATGGATCAAAGAATCTGTATCAAATTTTGCGTGAAAAACAAAATTACGTATATGGACGCATTCCGAATATCGACTGTGGCATATATATAAGGAGCTGTCGGACTCTATCCGCGACGACCCAAATTTTCTCCAGAGGATCATAACCGGTGACGAATCATGGGTTAAGGTATGGCGTGAAACCAAAGCTCAATCATCTCCATGGAAGCTGCCGCTGCTGGGGCAGTAATATTCCACAGATAATCTTTCATTCCCTTCTGTCTTCATTTCGTCCGTCTCATCTTTCTCACCCGAACCGCCACCTATTCACTCCCAAGAGATTCCTGCAAGGAGGCTGAGGAGGGCCTTTCGCCTTACCTTCCGGCGTAGTGGTTGGTGGGAATGAAACGCCCAATCAAGGAAGTGGTCAGTACACAAAATATACTTCTATAAAACGCTTTTGGGTTAGGTCGGTGCACGCGTTGTAGTACATTTTAAGAAAATTATCCTAGATTTAGGGAATTTAGAGTCAGATTACGGAAAAAAGGATTTCTATTTATCTAAATTGTTAGATGTAATTTAACTTTTGTGTCAAATGAATTCTTGTTGTTTAAAAGCTACTAACACTTTTTTACACAATTTTTTAAATACTTGTGAATAACTAAGGAAAAAAGGTTTTTCTTTTTTGGGTTCTTGGGATCTCTGGGGAAACACTATTAGGTGTTTTCGACAGTTTTTAAACGACTTACGAAGATATTTATTCATAACAATGGAATACATTTCTATGCACTCCACGTTTACAATCCAAGCCAAGTAGTCGTAACAAAACGCCATAAATTACAGACGCGAGAGGTACATTAGAGTTGAAGCACATTTCACACTTGAAAAACAAAGTAACAATGCATACTTCTATTTCAACTAGTGCTGAAAACTAGCAGACATTTAGTCCCTGCGACAAACAATATCTCACTACAGAAGTTTTTATCGATAAAGAACTTGCAGTTTCTGGGAGTTACTTGTAAATTTTGGTAATTTAGTTTCAGAAAATGAGATAAAAGCATTTATTAAAGTTATTTGTATTGACAGTGTACACACGGTGTAACAGAAATAAATAAATATTAATGTGAAAATTCATTTTTCAATTTTTTACCCACTACCCTCGTCGGGAATGGAACCCTTTGGCTTTACGCACCAATGCTTTGACCACTAAGCTTAGCTTAATAATAACATTCGATAATCGGCAATGTTTACTATCTCCAACCATGCGGTTGCCGAGTTTCTAACACAACACGTTATTCAGTAGACACCTATGTTGCCAATTCACGTACAGAACCGGCTTCGGATTGTAAATTATTATGATAAAAATGAGCATGGGTGCTACTCCAAAAAATATTTTGGTAAAGCTCTAGATGTGGGGGAGATCGAAAGAGGAGGTACCAACCCTGGAATATCGAATGGTAATAAGCCTTTTGGAAATCGGATGTGGCCATTCAAAAAATAAAACCTGGCTACGCCCCTGATTGAAAATATCAACTAGTCAATATAATTTGTCTATAATTAACAATTAATTTTTAATTTACACTCGATACTCAATAATTCACACCAGGCAATATCCTCCGCTCCCCGACACGCATTATTTATTATTGCAAATTGCAAAATTTCAATTTATAATGCAGTTTCAGTTCCTACGATGGTATTGGATGCATACGTGGGTTGAACCATAAAAACTACTGCACTATCCGCGGTCTTAGGAATATAATTTATAGAAAGGAGTGAATATTTCTCTTGTAAATAACTTCGAGAATTGCCGTTGCCTTCATATTTTAAAATCTGAAAGGATTTATTCGCTGAAGTAAATGGAAAGGAGTGTAACGTCTCCTGAAAAATCTGCACCATTACTTTCTGGAAGCCATAAAGCCCTTCCTGTCTGTAATGTTACTCTGCGACTTATTGTGCGGAAACAAAACTGCACGAAGATAACATTATGTTTCATAAGTACATATGCGGGTATACTTTATGTTTACATTTCAGCTGGAATAAATGCATTAATACAAAATCGCTTCTATAACGTGTAACGTCGTTTTTATAACCGCCTGATTGAATTTCTTTAAGTATATATACTGCCTCAGCAATGAGAGAGAACAAAAATCACTCTAATGCGAATTTGTCCTTCGAGATGATCCATCCTAGATTGTTGCAGGGATGAATAGAGGGATGCCCCTGGGTAGTGTATGATTACAATCAGTGGTGTTGTCGAGCCGGAACGCTCCGGAACGTCGTTCCGGTACTTCCTTTTTGAAGAGGAACGCGTTCCGGAACTAAAGATGATTTCTGATAACGAGAATTGGCTGACGTATTGAAAAAAAAATTAAAAAGAATTGCTGTTTTTTTTTCTAATTTTTGACGAATTTTTATATGTATTTTTATAAACAAGGGTTTGAACCGAACCCGAACCGGAACAAAAACCGGAACGAACCGGCTTGTTTTTCCGAACCGTGAACCGGAGTCCGGAACGTTTTTTTTTCTGCTGAACCGGAACTCGAACCGAACCGAAACAAATACGTGAACCGGTTTTTGAACCGGTTCAACGGGAATTAAACTTTATTTATAATAAACATTAGAAGAAAAAAATATAAAATTTTAAAAAAGTAAAGATTTCATACATAAATTTTAATACAAGCGGCCCACGGACCGTACGTTACTCATCCCTGGCATAGTTTATTGCCATACCCAAATGGGCCTGCGGCTAATGCTAAGAAT